TTAATTATTTTACACATTTTCCATTTTAATTAAAGCAGTATTGCTTCTTTCTTAAGTTCTTTATCTACTTTCTTTAAGTAAAGCTATTTAATACTGGGGATTGTGGAAAACATTTGTTCGTGATTATGCAGACATACAGTCAAACAAGACTGAAACAAGAGCAGCATGCAAAAATGTATTTAAGGACTATCATCCCAAAATGCTGCTAAAAGCTATTAACCAGTACGTGTTAATTGCCACAGCATTCATATTAATTTTCACTTCGGGCCCGACATTGTGGAATATTTCCCCTGATACATTTTAAACAAAGTTTAATTTAAGGAACTGCTTCTATCAACACTTATGAAAATTAACAGCCAAGCAATTAGCACTCATGAATTATCCCTTCCCCCATGCTTGCTACAGCATCATTTTTAAAACAGTTGCTACATGAGAAATTGTTGTTTTTTAACCCATTACCAAAGTTAGCCACGAGAAACCTTGTGGCCCTACAGAGAGGCACCATTCCTCACCAAAGGATTTTTAGCATTTGTCCACCCAAAAATTACATTGATCAAGGTTCAGTTAAATTATCTCCAGTAGTCAAGCAAAGACCAGAGAACTCCCTAAGAGCAGAAAAGCCAAACTTCCTTCTAATTCCATTTGCAGCTAGTCATGAAAGCAGAAATAAAAATATCTTGAGAACATCTGGTCTGCCTGTAGGAAAGGCTTTTGGCCTCATAACCCAGGTTCACTCCAGAGCCAGAAAATTCCTTCCTTCCATTTTTGATCTCCTCTGCACCTGTCCTGCCTGAGCCCTGAATCTCAGCAGAGCCCCTGCCAGGAGCCACCACCACCCTCCCCTGTGCCACCTGTGCCACCTGCACAGCACCTTCAGCTCTGTCTTACACCGAATCTTTCCCCACAACATTATTAAAACTCAGCAAGTTGGAACAATTAACTACCAAAAGTTGATTTTCCAGTCCTGTAGACAGAAATATACATACATTTATTTATCAAATATATGATAATTTAGTTTGCATGCAGATAAAATAAATCAATTTGGCCAGTGATCTCTTATCTCCAAGGAATTTTCAATTCCAATGACACCTGAAGGAATTACAAAGAACTAAAGGTTCTTTCAATACAAAATTCTTAGAAAGAGTATATAAGATTTATTAACCAAGAAGTACAACCCATGTGCTTTGCAAAAGATGAAAACAGGTCCAGAGCTGAGGTTTACTTAAACTATTTAGGGAAAAACTTGAAGAAAGAGTTGAGAGTAGTTACTGTATGTGTGGCTTCTGTTAAGAGCTGAAGTTTTACAATGTACAGAAAACCACAAATCTGTCCTGGGTAGTGGTGGGGCAGTTGTGTGGATTCCTGAGCTGCTTAGGATGCCTCCCTGCAGTTGTATTTCACAAGACATATTCTCTACTGTTTTGATAATTAATGAAGTGATCAGGACAGGAAGAAATTAGAGCGCTTTAAAATTTTACTATTTCATAAAATCACAGAAGTGGTTATGAAAGAGACACTAAATCTGGCAGGAAACACCTGCAAGATGTGAGCAGTGCCCAGGCTGGCAGCACAGCCCGTGCCAGGCTCTGGGCGAGCTGCTGGGCTGGGCACAGCACAGGGGACAGGGAAGGGGAGCCCAGGAGGGTTTGTGGGGGTTCACACCTGGTCAGGGGAGCCCAGGAGGGTTTGTGGGGGTTCACACCTGGTCAGGGGAGCCCAGGAGGGTTTGTGGGGGTTCACACCTGGTCAGGGGGAGCCCAGGAGGGTTTGTGGGGGTTCACACCTGGTCAAGGGAGCCCAGGAGGGTTTGTGGGGGTTCACACCTGGTCAGGGGGAGCCCAGGAGGGTTTGTGGGGGTTCACACCTGGTCAGGGGGAGCACAGGAGGGTTTGTGGGGGTTCACACCTGGTCAAGGGAGCCCAGGAGGGTTTGTGGGGGTTCACACCTGGTCAGGGGAGCCCAGGAGGGTTTGTGGGGGTTCACACCTGGTCAGGGGGAGCACAGGAGGGTTTGTGGGGGTTCACACCTGGTCAGGGGAGCCCAGGAGGGTTTGTGGGGGTTCACACCTGGTCAGGGGAGCCCAGGAGGGTTTGTGGGGGTTCACACCTGGTCAGGGGAGCACAGGAGGGTTTGTGGGGGTTCACACCTGGTCAAGGGAGCCCAGGAGGGTTTGTGGGGGTTCACACCTGGTCAGGGGAGCCCAGGAGGGTTTGTGGGGGTTCACACCTGGTCAGGGGAGCCCAGGAGGGTTTGTGGGGGTTCACACCTGGTCAGGGGAGCACAGGAGGGTTTGTGGGGGTTCACACCTGACCAGGGGAGCCCAGGAGGGTTTGTGGGGGTTCACACCTGGTCAGGGGAGCCCAGGAGGGTTTGTGGGGGTTCACACCTGGTCAGGGGAGCCCAGGCAGGGGGCAGGAGCATACCCAGGGACAGAGCCCCTGAGCTCCTGGGCACAGACCAGGAGGGACACTGAACAACCTCAAACCTGCACTACAAACTGCACTATGGACAAACCAAAGGCCTGGCTACAGCCCTAAAGGTCTGTGACCCCCTGAGTAAGCACATAATTATCTGGGGTGTTTTTAAGACATGTTTAATTAGGCCCCCAACCCCTCCTCACCCCCCCTTCCCCAATTATGTACCATTTCCCCCAGAGATACACAGCTCTGTTAATTATGTAAATAAGTCATGCACTATTCCCTGGAAGAATTATATTTCTGTGAAATACTGTTCATCTATTATCAATAAAAAATAAATACAAGACATATGATTTGTCATTAAAAATAATTTTTAAAAGCTCGATGATTTTTAGTGTTTTTCCTGACTGTAAATACATGAGAACTGAAGTAAAACAACTCACAACTGGAGTTATGTTTCTTCTATACCTCAGATGGTCACCCAAGCATTAAACTAGATAACACATACAGAGCCATAGAGAATAAACTTTATATGCAAACTATTGCTACCCTAACAGAGTAATAGAAACAATGGTGTTAAAATTAACACAGTGAGATTATGCTCAACAAAATGCACATTCAATTATTTTGGATTGTAAAGAAGGCATTTTGATTTGAAGATCACATCTGAGATATTTGATATCAGACCCTGCAAATCACAGCTGAGTGACACTGAGGTATTTCCTTACCCTCTCACACTGACAGGCAGAGTGCAACCTGCCTCCAGTGAAACCAACACCTGCTAAAGGTATCTGACTCAATAGTGAAAATTAACTTGTTTTTAGCATTATAGACAACTACAATTAACACAGTAAAGGTTAGCTTGGATTACCAAAGAGGGAAGGAAAAATGCTGAAGTATCTCAAGTTTCTGACTGAATTATAACAGAATTCTCTTAATAAAGCAGTATTTGACTTTTACTTTCCCTATACATGACATGAGAGCTCGTTTAAATGTTTGTCCAACTGAAATTTCATGGCACAAGAACAACAAACCCAGAGTTTGGAAAAAGGCCTCTTGGTGCTGTCAGCATGAAAGTGCTGCTGTCACTCATTAATGAGGCCAGGAATCCTGAAAACCTGAGTTAGCACTAATTGCCACATGCTAATAAATATAAAATCACAAAGAGGAGCTTCTGCATGTGAACTTCATGGTCTGAAGGTTACCATTTCCCAAATATTCCAGATCCTCCTAGAAATGTCAGTGGAATTATGGATCTGACTTTCCACTTCAGGAACACCTAACAGAATATGAAATTCTTCCATCACGATGGTAATGAAGCTCAAACTCCATCCTCCCACAGGAGATTCCACAAACAAATCCAGTAGGAAACAGATCTGCGGAGTATTTATACTTGTTTTGGAACAATATGACAATGATCCATCACACCAGCGTTTATATTTCAGTTTTTAGAGTTGATGAAAGAGAAGAATACCTGGCAGTGTGGAGTTCAGGGAAGACATTTATCCCCCAGTCTGAGCCATACCAGATCCATCTCCTGACCCCCACAACCTGCCAGGTTTGCAGCCAATCCCCTCCCTGTGTCACACAAATCAGCACTAGTGCAGAAATACAGGGATCAGTGCTTCTTTTTGCCTTGGATGCTACCTGCTGACACCTCAGTTTCCCACCCTCAGAACAGACCATGGCTCTCCCACCCTCAGTGGAGCGCTGAGGACAGAGACATGACTCACGGAATATTCAGCCAGGGCTGTGATGTGGACAGACAGAACACATCTGTCTGTCATCTGCCAAAGTTTTGGGGTTTTTTAGATGCAAAATAATCAGTCATTTACACAAAGGTAACTCTAGAGGGATGTGCCAGGACTCTGTCACAACCAAGGTGCCCCTCACTGACCCGCTGGGGGAGGAAACAGCACGGGAGAGAAGCTCATTCCCAGTCCAGAATGTTGTAATGGAAACACAGGAATGGCTCTGCTGAACCTGGAACCACTGCATTTGCTTGTTCCTAGATAAGCACCACACCTGAGGGCCACTCTAGAGTCCAGGTGGAGCCTGCACGAGTCACAGCCCAGGGGCAGTGCCTGGCACTTCTGGCACAGCCCAGGAGCAGAGAGTGACACTCCTGGCACAGCCCAGGGGCAGTGTGTGGCACCCCTGGCACAGCCCAGGAGCAGTGCCTGGCACAGCCCAGGGTCAGTGTGTGGCACCCCTGGCACAGCCCAGGGTCAGTGTGTGGCACCCCTGGCACAGCCCAGGGGCAGTGTGTGGCACCCCTGGCACAGCCCAGGAGCAGTGCCTGGCACAGCCCAGGGGCAGTGTGTGGCACCCCTGGCACAGCCCAGGGGCAGTGTGTGGCATCCCTGGCACAGCCCAGGGGCAGTGTGTGGCACCCCTGGCACAGCCCAGGAGCAGTGCCTGGCACAGCCCAGGGTCAGTGTGTGGCACCCCTGGCACAGCCCAGGAGCAGTGCCTGGCACAGCCCAGGGTCAGTGTGTGGCACCCCTGGCACAGCCCAGGGGCAGTGCCTGGCACAGCCCAGGGTCAGTGTGTGGCACCCCTGGCAGAGCCCCCCATGCTCACCTTGCCGTCGAATTTGGAGTACTCATTGAAGGGGTTGTTGAGCTGCAGTGGGCACTGCTCCAGTCTCACAGAGAGGATGGACTGCTTCCCAGAACATGGGGATTTCACCCTAAAATTCTTCTTTTCAAACAGTGAGCTCAGCTCCTCTGCTGCAGGTCAGAAAAGAGATTAGAGGCACGGTGTGAGGAGATGTACAGAGGCTGCAGCTCACCACACAGAGATAACATCATAACAGGGAGCACAAAATCAAATAAATAAACCTACAAATGCTTCAGCAGGGCAGGATCTAGCACCACTCTTTCATAGCCCAAAGACATGAAACCATTAAGAAGCCTGAGTGATGCTCCTGTTTAGGCTGAGAAAAAGGTGAGTTTTTCCTGCACAGAGAACAGAACTGATCAGTGTGAGACCCAGCTGAGTCAGATAACAATGAGGAGAATGGCACATTCCTGGCCTCTCTGCTTGCCCACCTCCTCCTGAAGGAGCAGGGAACAGGAAGGGAAGGAGCTGCTGCACCAGGAGCAGCAGAGCTGGCGCTGAGCCTGCAGCACGGGGCACAGCAGCCCTGCCCTGCAGTGACACCCTGCCAGCTGCAGCCTGGCACCACCCCAGGGCAGGATCAGCTCTGCACGTGCCACTCCTCATGGGGCACTGGGTATGGCCTCTCCCCATCAAACCAGCACCACCCCAGGGCAGGATCAGCTCTGCACGTGCCACTCCTCATGGGGCACTGGGTATGGCCTCTCCCCATCAAACCAGCACCACCCCAGGACAGGATCAGCTCTGCATGTGCCACTCCTCATGGGGCACTGGGTATGGCCTCCCCTCATCAAAAAGTCCAACCTGAAACCACCATTCCAGATCAACAGTCTGAACAATAAAAACACAAAAGCTTTCTAAAAACAAAGGGGATGCAAGTTCAGGAGGTCTCTGTGTGGTCTGTGAAGGCTCATAAAAACCTTTTTATGTGAAGAAAGTGTACAGCTGAACTTACAACAGCAGCTCACTTCCAATTTACTTTAAAAACCCTAGGAAATAGGAGTTGTTGCATTACAAGGGCACTATGAAATCAGGACAGAGCCTGGGTGTATCAGCACATCAGTTCCAAGGGCTCTCATCTGCAGGGAGCTGTGACTGAAGCTGGCCAAGGTTCCCCACAGCTGCTCCAGGAACCAGAACCCCAGCTTCCATCCCTCCATCCATCCATCCATCCATCATCCATCCGTCCATCATCCATCCGTCCATCCATCCCTCCATCCATCCCCCATCCATCCCTCCATCCATCCCCCATCCATCCCTCCATCCATCCCCCATCCATCCATCCATCCATCCATCCCCCATCCCTCCATCCCTGCCCAGAGCCCAGCCCAGCTCCCCTGCCCTCGGGTCCCCACAGCTCCCACATCCATGTCCTGCTCCTCCAGGGAGATGGAACTGCTCCCAGGAGGGAATGGCCTGGCACTTGATCTGCAGGGACTTGGTTCATTTCTTGGAGTGCAAAATTAAAACCTGTCAAATGATAACTAGTCAAAAGCTCCATTTATTTTTATCAGCAGATTGCCTTAAAATTCAGGCAGTTGGCAGAGGTGCTAAATACTGGCACTGAGAGATCCCCAGCGGGCTTGTGAGAGGCTGCAATTAGCCAAAAAAGCTTGATTTAATCCCTTTCAATGTGGCCACTTTAACTCCATTAGCTTGTTTTGGTTTTTCAACAAGCACTTGTACTTAATTTTTTTAAAAAATCTAAAGCATTATATTGGAGTATTGCCTTTAACTGATAACGCTTGGGCACTGGGAAAGGACACTGGGATCCAATACAATGGTTTCACTTGTACAAGTGAAAAATCAAGTTTTTATCTACAGCTAGATAAAAATGTACGTCTTGCATGTCAGCATGGGCTGAATGCAAGACTTTGGAAGGATTTCCTTGACACATTGTTAATTTGCATTTTATATGCTCTGAAATGAGGGAATGTAAGATGCAAAGGTCCAGAGGATATCCTGATGGAGGAATGTAAAGTGTAAAGGTACAGAGGATAACCTGATGAAGGAATGTAAGATGCAAAGGTACAGAGGATATCCTGATGGAGGAATGTAAGATGCAAAGGTACAGAATGTAAGATGCAAAGGTACAAAGGACATCCTGAAGGGCTCCTCCTTCTCCTTGCTGCAGTGTTGCTCATGCCAGTAAGGGAGAAGCACTCAGATCTCAGTGGCCAAGCACAGAAGGAAAACCAGCTCTGCCAGCAGCCCTGAGCCTGGAGCTTTTGTGGAACTTGTTTATTTTTTATTTAAATCTGTTCTGCAGCAGGCAGGGATGGACCCATTTGCCTGCCCATTCCTCAGAGGGGACAAATGTGGCTGCTGGGGACACATTGGGGGGAAGGGGATTGAGCACAGAGCCCCAGGAGCAGCAGGGGCGGCACAGGAACCCTCAGAGTGCAGGAGACACAGGAGGATCTGCATCATCACCAGCCAAGTGCTATAAAATACTCAGCAAAGAGGTGGAGGTTATGGTAGATTAACCTTTAAAACCTACAACTCTGCTTACAGAAGGAGAAAGGCAAAAACATTTCAGAATGCATTAACAGGGATATCCAACACAGCTGAACACTGAATTAAGGATTAGTGTGGCTGTGCTGCTCGTGTGAGCAGCTTTGTTCACTCCTCTGAAGGGACATTAGAGTGCTGGAGAACGTTCTGCAAATGACAGCCACGGAGAGAGGAGGAATTAGGCAAAAAAGGGAGATTACAGAGGGACCTCATTAAGATATACACAAATTTTGAAAGAAGCAGGCATGACAGACCATACAAAGGTTTGAATGTCTGTCAAACACAACAGAAATAGAAACTAGCTTGAGCTCTAAATAGGAAAATGGAGACAGATTTTTAATTTCATATATTACAATTTAAACTATGTAGAACATCCAGCCACAAATACTTAATTATATAATTAACAAAAATAGAATTTAGTATTTTTTGAGAAATCAGCGATAATAGTTTTACCAAGGAAAGGCGAGATAAGCCAAGGCAGCATTTATTATGCTTGCATTTAAGCAGATCACACATATACCCTTTATTTCTTGGGATTTGCACCTTATCTAAAGAAGTAGCTACAAAAATATTCAATACAAGTAAACTCTACAAAATCCTCCATGGCACCAAACACTGCTGGAAGTGGCTGGGAAGTGCCCTGGAGACCCTGGTGCTGCAGAGACCTGGGCAGAGCCACTGCTGTCCCCACTGTGCCACCAGGGCCCCTGCGAGCCCCCGGGGGGACAGACACAGTGACCTGATTCGGGGATTTTTGGCAATGGATTTGGGGATTTCTTGGGAATTTTTGGGGAATGGATTTGGGGATTTTTTGGGAATAAAATTGGGGATTTTTTTGGAATGGATTTGGGGATTTTTTGGGAATAAAATTGGGGATTTTTTGGGAATGGATTTGGGGATTTCTTGGGAATTTTTTGGGAATTGATTTGGGGATTTTTTGGGAATGGATTTGGGGATTTTTTGGGAATACAATTGGGGATTTTTTGGGAATGGATTTGGGCCAGGGATGCCTCGGGGGTGCAGAGTCCACCCCATAACCCCATAACCCAAACTGGCTGCCCAACACCTCTCCTCTGCTCTGTTAACCCCTGAGGGCCCTGGCCAGGGCTGGCACCTGGAACAGCACAAAGAATTGGCTTTTCCTCAATGCTGAAAACCCTAGGGGAAAATTACAAACTGCAGATGTTGTAACCATCACAGGCAGGAATAAAAACAGTAGGAAAATAAGAGATATTCTATTTTACCTGAGCAAGAAGTATTTCTGTCTTTCCACTGAACGTTTTTGCATTTTATTTGATTTTGTCTCTCTTTCCGCAGACGTTCTAGTCTCTGAGCTTGAAAAGAAATATTACAACTATAAGTTTGTCAATGAAAGTTTACTATAAACAAAGACATAATTAACTACCTTTATATGAATAAAGATGTTTTATACTGCATATGTAGGGGGAAAAGTCATAAAATTTTAAAGGTGGCACCCCTGAAAAGCAAATACCAACAAAAACATGAAAATGTTCTTGATTTATAATTGAAATTAGAGGATATAAAACATTAATAGAGATCATAAAGATAGTATTAACATGGAAGAGAATAATAAAATGTGAAAACTTCTGTGATTAATATGACATTTCATTATATAAATCATTAATAACGGTCTTAAAGGAATTTTAATGCACAAATGAACTGAAGTGAATATTACATTACAGGAATAAAATTACTGTTATGAATTACTCTACCCGTTTCAAAAATTAAAGATAAATGAACTCAGACTAGACTATTAAAGTTTTAAATATAAAATCCTTTATCTAAAAATCATGAAAATTATAAAATGTCAAAGCGATATAAATTAGCACAGCTTTTTCTTCAGTAGGCTGAAACAGTTTATAGGTAGTAAAATAAATGATTTGTATCTTCACAACATTAGTCAAATCCTAAAATGAATATAATATTTCTTTACATATATTTTGACTCCATCTTCAAAATATGGTTGGGAAAAAAAGCCCCAAATAGTTCTGATACCAAAGAACTTTCAGCTCAGGGTACCAGACAACTTAAATCACCTTTTTTGTTAAAAGTAGGACTTCCTTGGGGAAAAACCTGATGGAAGGCACCCGAGACAATGACCCCAAGAAAACACTGATGTTGTCCACTCAAAATAAGCAGATCAGACTGGGACGTAGAACTAACAGTGCTGATCCCCAAAGGAAACAATTTGCTGGACATATTAGCAATTTTGATGTATTGAGATAATTCATTAACTAAAATGGGTTTGTAGAAGAGATTCTAAAATGCTAAATTACTCTGACAAGTTTTGGATACAAGTGGAGTTCCCTGAGCCTTTCCAGCAATTAAAAAACATTAATAAATATTTTCTGTCCCTTCTGTTATTATTCTTTTACATTTAGGTCTTTGAACTGAATTGTGGACAAGGAAGTAATTTTTTTCCCCCATAAAAACTGTCAATGAGAGAACTGATAAAAAAATATTCCTTTGAAGTTTAACAGCTGCAGCAAGCAGTTTAAGGTACAAGCACAAATGGGGACTTTGATAAGTATCTGCCATTAACAACACAATACTAGAACCTGAATACCTCTAGGTAGTTTCCTCTTAATGAAATAAGAAAAATATCCCTTCACATAAGTTTAAATATTGGGAAAACACTGTTGCAGCATAGATAGTTTATTCTGAAAGAAAAGCTACACATTTGTACCAGTTACTGCCCACACTGTAATTCAAAATTACCTTCCAAAGCCCTTTCTTTCCAAATGAGCTACCAGAAAATATAAATAAATACTATTTTAATATCAGAAAATATAATCTGTTAGATGAACAGGTAAACAAGGGATTAAGGAAAAGCCATAGACTAGAAACAAGATAATGCATGTTTTTATCTGTTTGATATTTCCATCCCCTGTCAAAATGTCCAAGAGCATAGTCAGCACCTCCCCTGAGCCCCTCCTGTTCCTCCGCCTGGAGCTGGTCAGAAATGACCATTTCACTGTGCCAAACCAGAGGGAATGGCCAGCACCTGCCAGAAATGTGAATTATTGAGGGGTGGCTGTCACAGGCAGCCAGTGACAGTTTTGGGTGTGAAAAACCAAAAGTCTGGTGGCTGCCCAAAGGCAGCTGTGGTTTCATTAATGGTCAGCCCTGAGATGAGCCTCAGTGCCCTGGCTTTTCTCACAAATTCCTCCTTGTGAAAGGCATTGCAGCACCTCCAACAGCACACACATTTTCCTGGTGAAGCAGAGCACAGAGGTGCTTTCTGGGCTCTAGGTGGTGTTATAATACCTGCAGAAATCATTTTAAAAATACTATACAGACACGGAAAAAAGAGGTCAGTACTGACCACTGTACACCAATCTTCTCGCCTGTATTTTACCTTACAGAACTCGTGCTCATAAAATTCCTCAGGTCTAAGCAGAAGTCTGGATGTCCCCTGTATGAAACACCAGACAGGAGAGCTTTCTGCCAGCCATGACAAAAGGAGTGTATTTTGTAAAGGTGTTCACCCTTAAACTTCCTGATTTGGTACCTTAAACCCTAGCTCAAGGTTTTTCTCAGAAATAAAACTTTAAGAGACAAAATACAGACAAATCATTCCCTTTGTTGGCTCACATCAAACTTCATTCCTCTCTTTTATAACAAATACATTTGATGCCTCACTAGGCAGATTTTTTCTCAGAAAATAACTATCCTGTTCAAAAGTTAACACCCCTCCAGACAGTAACAATAGAGATATCAAAGACTGTTCATGTACTTTGGATTTAGATTTGATGTCTCCACAATTTGAATTTTTTTATATATATAAAACTGACTACCTCAATGTTCTCCTGCACAGGAACAGGTAAAACAGCAATTAAGGCTCAGTTGACAGCACGCTGAAGTAACTGAATCATTATGTATCCTTGTCTAAAAGGGCCTGAGCACTCCAAAGGGAGTCTGACAGGCACCAGGCTGGTGTCCTGCTCCGGTCTGTCCTGCCAGCCAGGCCCAGCCAGGCCCAGCCAGGCCCAGGGAGACTCAGCCAGGACCAGCCAGGCCCAGGGAGGCCCAGGGAGGCCCAGGGAGGCCCAGGGAGGCCCAGGGAGACTCAGCCAGGCCCAGGGAGGCCCAGGGAGACTCAGCCAGGCCCAGGGAGGCTCAGGGAGGCCCAGGGAGGCTCAGGGAGGCCCAGCCAGACCCAGCCAGGCCCAGTCAGGCTCAGCCAGGCCCAGCCAGGCCCAGGGAGGCCCAGGGAGACTCAGCCAGGTCCAGGGAGGCCCAGCCAGGCCCAGGGAGACTCAGCCAGGACCAGCCAGGACCAGCCAGGCCCAGGGAGGCTCAGGGAGGCTGAGGCTGGGCTGCTGCAGACCCCACGCACCTGTGTTCGACCGGCGCCTGATCCCAAAGTCCCAGCTTGAGGTAATGTCCACGGATTGGGAGTAGACGTAGCCCTGAGTGTCCCCATTGCTGCCCTGGGGCTCTGCCCCGCTGTCCCCGCAGGCTGAGGAGGGGTGGAACTTCTCCAGGTCCACGTCGTGGTCGATGAGGACCATCTCGCACATGCCCGTGTCATCGCTGGTCACGTGCGACTGCCGGATGTGCGCCAGGATGATGGTGGGGTTGTCCAGGAAAGCCATCCTGTCTCAAGGCACGCCCTCACCGTACTATCTCCTCTCCATCTTGCTTCATGGGCACACGTACCTGGAAACGGCACACGCGGCATTGCAGGAGCGAACACAAACGGCTCAAACCCCCGTCCCCAAAGGTCTGTGTGGGATGCACAAACCCCGACTGACTCAGGGCAGGCTGGTTAACTCTGCTCCACTTCACTTGTGCCACACTGGCTGCTGAGATCCTCTTAAGGAGCAGGGGGTTTGGAGGACAGCAGGACACCAGAGATACCTACAGAAAGGTCCCAGTACTCCACATGGCTGCTGCAAGGCTAAACACCCCACAGTGCTGCACACAGGAGGATGGCAGGAGAATCCAGAAACATCTGCCTACTCCAACTAATCCATTTACAAAGCCAACAGGGTTTTGGATTTCTTTTCACCCATCTCAACTGTGTTTCTGTTTTGCTTCTGTATCAACACATCAACTTTTTGAGTGCCTTATTACAGACTCTCTTCAGGTTTTGTATTTCCAGGAAAAGCTTTAAACATGAAGAGATTAGTGTCTCAGGGCAGAATATTGAACATCTGCTGCTGCATGGTGCTTCACACAGGGCAAGTGCAGTAACACAGAAAGCTCTGTGACCAAATACCACATGCCTGAGCTCTGAAGCACACTAAGAACAGTAATTGCCACTTACCTAAGATATTTCATTCAGAGCACTCAAGTGGCCTTTTGAAACAAAGTAGAGGGCAAAACGGAAAAGGAAAAAACCCCAAACCACAAAACCCAAACCACGCTCACATTGTTATCTGATTTTTCTGTAGCTGTGGCTTTGTAGTGATGCCAATCTAATTCAAGCCCGGGCTGACTCTGAAAGGGGCAGCTCCATGCCCTGCCTGACCTGCTCCAGGAATTCCACCATCTCCCAAAGCTGGCACTGGAGCTGTGGGCTGAGCTGGATCAAAAAATTACCTGCTGAAAATAACCTAAAAAGGAAAAACAAAAAATTATTCCTGTTCATGCAGCAAGTCCATCAGTGAGCAGCAGCAGGAGCCCTGGGGACACCTCCACCTGAGGGGGCTCGGTCTGAGCTCACACACAGGACAAGACTACGTGTAAATTCCAGAAGGTTGAAATCCCACTGCTTTTCTAACCAGAGGAAAACACTTCATAGAGCTGCATGTGTGTGTTTGGGATTTTGAACTCAGAAACACCAGCAATCTCCTGTCCTTGCTGCTTGCAAAACTGCTGCTTAAATCACACAAAGCCTGTTCCCACGAAAATCTGCTAGAGGCAGCTGGCCTTCTCCTGGGATAACTTAACAGAGGGAAGGGACAGAAAGGACCAGGCAGGCTTGTTCCAGAACCAGTCCCCATAAATTCTGCTATTAGTGAAATTCACTCCAGCAGGATCCTTGGAGACACTCAGAGCCCAGCTGGACACAGCCTGGAGCTTTGCTGGCCCTGCCTGGGGTTGGGGGTTTGGATGGGATCTCCAGAGGCTCCAGAGCACCACAACTCCACACTCTGCTTTAATTTCTGACTCTTTCCATCAAAGTAAGCAGGGCTGCTCCTGAGGGAGTTGTCACTGTCCTCCAAGGGAGAGGCCACAAGGCAAATGTGCCACCAAAGGACTGATGTGCCCAGGGCTCTGACCCTGCACCAGCATGACCAGCACCCTGGGGCCTGGAAAACACAGACACAGCCAAGCACAGCTCATGGACATGGCAAAACACACGTTGAGAATGTTCTTTAAATTGAATTATTTCTACTCACTGATTAGGAAAAGCCACGTGTACCTGCAATTGGCAAAAACTTGTTTAAATAAGCAACAGCCTCAGGCGTCGGAAAGGTCTGCAAAGTCCCAATCAAAAATTACTGCTGCCCCATCAATGTGTCATATAAATGTTGGCATGTTAATTGTGTATTTATAAGATTGTTAATGGTTAGTTAATTTACCTCCCACACTATTATTGTACTTGAAATGATTTAATGTCTGCTGAGGGAGTTAACAACATGCAACAGCAGATGCGAGTTTTACCTTTATACCCTGCACCCCGACTTCTGCCATTAACAGTGGTGTGCTAAATCAGCCAAGCTTCTTCCCAACTGTACATCTGCAACTGCCTCTCCCATAGACCTGAATGCTGAGAAAGTGCTGGAAATTCTACACAAGTTTTACACAGACGTATTTTTATTTCCTCCTCTTCAGAATTTTCAAAAAGGCGCATTAAAGCTAATTTGTCAACACATTAATGCTAACTGGAAACTCTCTGAACAGTTTATATACTTCAAAAAACAAAAAAAGAAAGGTCAGACCCCAAATTCAGTTCAGGTTTTGATGCCACAGTTAATAGTTGTCATCTCCAGAATTCTAACCGGTTCTCCTGTTGATAAAGGCACAGACCCACCCTGAGGAACAGCGACTTCCAGTGAGAGAGAAGAACTCAAAGAAGCAAAGTTCAGTTTTGCAAAGCTTTACACAAACACCTTGAAGGTTCCAGCAAAATCACAGACCCAAAATCAATGTCTAGATCTGCTGAGATCTGCCAGCACACCCCTTCTGCACTCCTACACCCACACACCATCACCACATCCTCATGGAGGAGCCAAATTTAACAGGATTCAGGGACCTTCTAAGCACCAGCATCTTATACATTCTTTCATCATAAACAAAAAATAAATGTTCTTCTAATACTTGTGCCATACAAATGATATTCCACCATTGAATAAAGCACTTGGCAGGCAGCTGTCAAACATACTCTGTGCAAACACTAAAACTGAAGAGAGCAACGTGAAATCTCCAAAATGTTAGAGTCTGGCATTTCTGTACAACAGGATACACAGGCTGAGATTGAATGATGCACTGATTGGCAAACACCTGTGGTCAGCACACAGGTGGACAGAGATCTTCACTTTCTCCTGATCTTTATTACTCACCTATCTAACTGTCTGCACACTGTCTGACCAACAGCCAGGGACGAATGCTCGCTCTGCCCTTCTGGGCCCCAGTGCTGTGACTCTGCCCTGCCCTGGGGGCACAGCCCCTCAGCCTGGGGCAGGCACAGAGCACCCCCAAAATGTCAAACTGCACCATCGGGAGGCTGAAGGCCCTGCCAGGACTCACGGGCACTCCGTGGCAGCAGCAGCCAGCTGCATCTCAGCGCACTATTTCTCTCAGCAGTGCTGCTCCTGCAGCTCCCCACGGCGATATTTATGGCAGGGATGGGCTCTCCCAGGCAGCCAAGCAGGGCTTTATGCAGATCAGGCTCATTCATAACCCCGGCACAACGAGGAACGCTAACAAACGACTCCGCTGCCAGGAGGTGACACAAAGGTCTTGGAAAAGGATCTGCAGCCACGCAGGCTGTACCTTGAACACACAGCTGAACGCAGCTGAATTTCGGGAGGCAACTCCATCATCACAACATGTGAACTGTTCCTGTGACCCTCCTGCTTGCTCCATGCGCTGCAATTATTTAATAAAGATTTCTGGCTTTCCCGTTCCCCCACCAACGCCCCACACAGGGATGGTATCTGCAATTATTTAATAAAGATTTCTGGCTTTCCCGTTCCCCCACCAACGCCCCACACAGGGATGGTATCTGCAATTATTTAATAAAGATTTCTGGCTTTCCCGTTCCCCCACCAATGCCCCACACAGGGATGGTATCTGCAATTATTTAATAAAGATTTCTGGCTTTCCCGTTCCCCCACCAACGCCCCACACAGGGATGGTATCTGCAATTATTTAATAAAGATTTCTGGCTTTCCCGTTCCCCCACCAACGCCCCACAAGGGATGGTATCTGCAATTATTTAATAAAGATTTCTGGCTTTCCCGTTCCCTCACCAACGCCCCACACAGGGATGGTATCTGCACGCTAACCTACCCGAGGTGACAAGGAGACAGCAGAGCAGTGTGAGATGAGGGCCAAGGACAGGCTGAAGCTCACGGCTGCCACGCTCCCATCCATCCGCGGTGCCAGGCAGACAGCAGCGGGCACAGCTGGAGCCAGCCCCGTGCTGCACCCAGCCATGGGGGCACTGCAGCCACTGCCAGCCCTGCTTGCTTCTGGCTGCAGGGGAACGTTTGACCTTGAGCGTGAAAAATGCTGAGAGCAGCTCTCCTCACTTGGGGAAAGGCAGCTATTTCAGAATGGATCTCCGGGTTTGTCAAATGAGCACAGTGCAGTCTGACACAGCGCCGGGCTGGCACTGCCCTGCACGAGGGGCTGCTCCTGGCACTGCCCCACACCTGCAGAGAGCCGTGTCTCACCTGCACAGCTGCCAGCGGCGGGGCAGGGCCCTCTGTGCCACCCGCTGCCCCAGCCCTGCTCCCTCCTGCAGCTCCTGACACATCTCCCAGCAGAAATACGGATGTCCCTTGGTGAGGTGACCCCAGAGCCAGCGGGCACTGTCACACCCTGTGCCTGTCCCCAAAAGGTCGCAGGCTCCAGGTCAGACCCCTCCAGCTCCACCAAAAGCCCTGTGGCGCCACCAGCACATCACCAACTGCAGGACATGTCCCTAAAATGACAATCCCCTTTTCCATGGCATCTTCCAGGAAATATTTTCTTCATGTTGGTATTTTTGCCTCTCATGCTTTGCAATACACAGACCTCTAAGCAAGCCAAGAAACAATAAAATCAGAGAAAGCTGTCAGCAACTAAAAATGTTCTGCTGCAAGAAAGAGCTACAACTTTGAAGTTTCACCAATTTTAATGGAATGGTTTTAAGAGTTCTCCAGTAAAAAGGGCTAAAAGCAGTTCCGAATTCTCCACAAAACTCTCAAGCCAATTCCTGCAATGTACCTTCCTCTCCAAATTATAAAAGTAAGAAGTAGGGGGAAAAAAACCTTCTTTCCTCATGTTCTGCAAAGCTGTAGCTTGTTTTTGGTTTTTTTGGTTTGTTTTAATATTGTTTAAATTGACTATCCTCCTTAAGGAAGTAATAAACAATTAAAGCCCTGTTCAAAGTAAACAAAAGTATTCCAAAGACACAATTTGTGGAAGGTACAATTTGGATCCAAGACAATTGCTAACAAATGCAAAACACAGCAAGCTGGAAAAATTGTATACATTGCAGGTCATGTTATCATTCAAGGGCTTCCACAGTCCCTGTACTCAAACACCTCCTTGACTGTAGCTCTTCAAAGTGATCTTTAAAAACTAATGAAAAAGATAGGCAGATTAGAATTAAAAATTGATTTTTCCCCCAGCGTCATATAAGCAGGAACAGGACGGCATGAACATACTTCAAAATTTATGATTCAGGTTCCATGAAATAATTTCCCAGTCAACTTCTGTCTGCAATTGCACAAGAAATGGTTCTGGTTATCTGCATTTGCAGCAGCAAAAATAATCAACCCCCTCAAACACAGACAGGTCCTGGGCAGGCAGGATAAAGGAAAGTGAACTGAAATATACGAACATTCAAGTTTATGTTTCAGCAAAAGCTCAAGTGCATTTAAGAGTGAATACTTATCTGCAGAAGCTGTCACTCACACTCCGGTCCTATCATTAAAAAGGAAATAATCATTTACAGTCATACAAAGAGGCTCTCTCACAAGAGAGACTGGAATTGGGAAGTTATGATGAGCAAACACCACATTACACACAACTTCCAACAAATTATTTGTTCATTTCCAGACCTGTAAATCAATCTGGCACTAGCTCTGTATTTTTGAATTGCTTGGAATTTGGCTATACTTTTGTTGTCACACTAATCAGGATGCAAATAACACCAATTCCAATATTTTAATTACTGAGCTTTAGAGGGGGGAGAAAATATTGGGGTATGTATGGGAAGTATTCACTCTTCTCTTTCCTGATCTTGTCAAACCTTTGTTTAATTGTAGACAAGTTGATTCTCTGCTAACCTGAGAAATCTTGCATCAAGATTTTAAGCAAATAAATAAGTATAAAAAATGCAGAGATTATAAATTAGGGCAGACAAATCTGTATCTAGACTCGTGCCTGCAAAGAGCATTCTATCAATATAGCGAAATGCTAATCTCCTAATTAACAACCTAATTAGGTAATTATGGCTTTGCAGAGGGATGCCTAAATGAAATATGACAACATGGTCACCTCTTTATATGGCACCTGTGGGCCTTTTCAGCTGTCACAGCCGAGAGTGCAATATCAATTTGAACAGATGACAAAGCGTTGTCATTTTTCATTCAGATATTGTGCTGAACGCCGGATCCGGCGCTCCCAGCGCCGCTCCTGCTCCCCGAACGCGGCCAAACCCCTCTCCATTTCCATGGCCCTGATGGAGCTGGGTTCCTCCTGCTGGCTGCAGGGTCCCAGACACACGGCACAGCTGCAGAGCCACTCGGGGCTGACCCACCACCCCGAACCCCCGACCCAATTTCACAGCCCGCGTGTGGGAGAATCGCTGCGCAGGAAAAACAGCTGAGCTCATGACTGAGGCTTAATTGCTGCTGGCTTTGAACTAACATAACAAAACCAGAGGGCCTTGTAAATAACACAGAGCATTCATTTCGCTTTTACTCCTGCTGAACGCTCTTTTCCAGGGGAGCAGCAGCCCCTGTCCAGGAGAAGGTGAAGCTGATGGACTTTGCACAGAAAGCTGGGAAGGAACGCTTTCAACAAAGGTGCTTTTCCATGGAACACTTTCTGTCACTCATATGCCTGAAATGCTTTAAAGACAATTTGCTGAGCTTGAACATTCCCAACGGCCATCAACCTGCTGGAGCGGGTCTGGAGGAGGCCACAAAAATGATCAGAGGGATGGAGCACCTCTGCTATGAGGAAGGGCTGAGGGAATGGGGATTGCTCAGCCTGGAGAGGGCCCAGGAGGGACCTAATGCAGCCTGCAGCACCTGAAGGGAGCCCACAGCAAAGATGGAGAGACACCACACACAGGGCATGGAGGGACAGGACACAGGGAATGGCTTCCTCTGCCAGAGGGCAGGGATGGGTGGGATAGCAAACCACGCTGGGATTCTGTGATAAATAAGATATCTTGTTGTAGAGTAGAGAATGAAAGTACAGTGCTTGAATATCAGACTAGAGCTGCTTTCTCAGCGTGATATTCAAGAGCCTAAAAAACCGAATACATTTCATAAACATCAATACAAGCTTCAATTTAAAAAAATAATTGAACCAGGAAGCTTCACCATTTTACCTTTTAGCCTGTTTGCTACTGAGAGAGATGCTACTCTCATTGGGTTTTACACACACAGAGGTCCCCAGGCTGGCAGCAGGGGAGCTGCCAGAGCCGGGACAGAGCCTGGGGACACGATGAGGTGCAGCCAGCCCAGGGGCTCAGCACAGCCACGGCACAGCTCTGCAGCAGCACCAGGAGGGGCGGGCACTGCCAGGCACAGGGTGCCATAAACAGCAGCACCTGCCAAAACAAACACTTTGGTCCTGGTCACTTTCTTTAGGTTGTTGCCATTCCACTTCCGACTGCATGTAAATATTTTTATTGCATTAAAAACATGATTGTAATCTTATTTTTTAAATATAGCAGCATGCAAGCTGCTTCTGACTTAAGAAACACTCATGATGATCAGACCTACTTAAAAATGCCCAAGACCTTCAGCCCCTTTGGGACTTCATGTCAAATGGAACTGGACAGATCCACATTTCTTCAGCAAAAGATGAATCCCCTGCTCCTCTGGCTTTTAATTTTGGGTCTGTCTCTTTCAAGAGCACACAAAACATATTCAAGGAGCTTTGTTTTGCTCTCAGGATAATGGATTTAGATACAGCACTTCTCAGGCAATAAGCAAACAAGGTAGGGATTGCCCTTGTGCTGTCTGGGATACGAAACTGAGCTGGCAGACAGTGAACAACAAGGCACCACAGTTTGATGGAGCCCCTCAGCTCACACACACACACACACAGGGTTAATATCAAAACTTTACAGCCTGGAGTCTGTGTCAGACTAACAGAAACTGTGCACTAACAGAAACACCCTGCAGAACTCTGCTACAGCCCCTGAGGCAGCCCCTCCCTGCACGGCGGGTCCAGGTGTGGGACAGGATACCCAGGTGTGGGACAGGGTCCCAGTGTTAGGCAGAGTCCCAGGTGTGGGGCAGGGTCCCCAGGTGTGGGGTGCGGGACAGGGTCCCCAGGTGTGGGACAGGTCCCCAGGTGTGGGACAGGATACCCAGGTGCGGGACAGGGTCCCAGTGTTAGGCAGAGTCCCAGGTGTGGGACAGGTCCCCAGGTGTGGGACAGGGTCCCCAAACGGGAAGAAATGAAGACACCTGAGCTGCATGCCCATTTCTCAGTCAGTGTCCCTTGCCCTCGGATGCCAGCATGAATTGTGGATCCCAGAAGGAATTCCCTCACACAAAGGGCTGTCCGGGCTGGAAGGGGCTGCAATCCCCACCCTGAGGTGCTCAAGGAATGACTGGAGGCGGCAGTCAGTGCTCTGGCCTGGCTGACAAGGTGCTGGTGAGTCGGAGGCCGGACTCGATGATCTCAGAGGTTTTTTCCAAGCTCAGTGACTGTGTGATCTCCAAAAACAGTGGCCATATGGGAATGGGCAGCTCCTGCACAGGGCTGTGACCAGCATGCTGCTCCTGTGCTGTGCCATTTGTTGCCATAACTGACCTTTCTGTACAGGTGTGTGCTTTTCACGCTCACAGCTTCGAATGGTCGGGAAAATTTCGTGCTACAGAACACAGATCCCTGTGCCAGGCTGCTTCACCTGCAGAGGCCTTCACTGATCCAAAGGAAATGCATAACAAGAATGTAGCCGTTACTTGTTATTTTAATATTCGTTATTTGTTATTTTAAATTTGTTACTTGTTGCAATTGGGTGAAAATTTAACTAACCGATGAGGAAAGGGTGTTACAACAAAGACCTGAAACACGATTGATACAGAAATTGACTAAACTGGTTCTCCCTGCTTCAGTTATTTCTGTACAAGTCTATACGTACATGCTGATCTCAATTTATTTTTAATCTAACCTAAAAAAGTGTCCGTGAATGGAGCTGTTCTGAATTTGGAAAAGTAACCGAGAGTCTAATTCCCAGTCTTGCATCTACCTGACAATCCCCCGACGCCTAAAACCGTCCAGAACACTCGGGATATCCAAGCTCGGCATCTCTGTTCAGTCAATTTCCAAACTTCACTAGCACAGAAATCACGCATTGCTGGGGTCCCGGACACCGTTCCCGCTGCCCGGTGTGCTCCCGGCACCGCAGGCAGGTGCAGAGCCGGGAGCCCCGTCCGCACCGGCATTTGGGCGTGACGCTGCCCAAAGCGCCGCCGGGAGCCGCGGGGCGGGCAGAGCCCTCGGTGCGGCCGGGACACGGGCACGGGCCGTGTGACCGGGACACACGTCACGGGACCGGGATGGAGTGACCGGCACCGGCCGGTGCCGCGCGCCTCCCGCTCCCCGGGGCATCCCGGGCTCCCCGCCGGTCCCGCCGCTGCACCGCACTCACCTGGCCCCGCCAGCCATCGCTGCCGCCGCTCCCCTGCCCCGCTCCGCCCGCCCCGCGCTGCGCTGCTCCCGCCCCGCCGCCGGCAGACGCGCCCGCGGAGCCCCGGTGCCCCGAGCCGCGTCCCGGGCAGGCTGGCAGCCGCCGCCGCCGCCGGTCGCGGCATCCCGCGGGGCCCGCGAGGGGCTGACAGCGCGGGCAGCCCGGCCCCAGCCGCCCCCCCGCCCCGCACTTACCGGCGCCGCCGCCGCCGCCGCCGCCGCGGGGCCGCGCAGCCGCTTCCGGGTCCGGGTCCGGCGGAACGGGCGCGGGGCCGCGCGCGACCCGGAAGCGCCGCGGCCGCGGAAATGACGGCGCGGAACGGGCGGGGCGGCGGCACCGGCGGCGCGGAGCGGCCCGGCCGGAGGCGGTGCGGCCGCGCGGCTGCGGGTCACGGGCTCCGGCGGGCACGGCCGCCCCGCCCTGGTGCCCGGGTCGGTACCGGGACACCCGCGCGGCGCTCACCGGTGCCGCACGGCCGCACACAGGAGGCTTTTCTCACGGGGACCGCACCAGTTTTATTTCCAGTTTTATTTCCAATAAAAGCACCGTGCCGGTAGCGCTCGGTGTACCACACAAGGGGATGAACCCCACACCCGGTCGCTGCTGCCCGGGGCAGGGACCGAGCGCTGCCCGTGCCCCAGGCCGTGATCAGCGTCCCTGGGTCACCCCGGGCTCCGGGGCTGTGTCCACACGGCTGCCAGGGCGAGCAGGGGTGCCCAGCCACAGCGCCGGCCTCCCGGAGCTGCAGCTGTTCCAGCTGTTCCCAGCTGTTCCCGGGGTTCCTGTGCCTGGCCGTGTATCCCTGCCGCCTTTCCAGACTTGCTGGTGCAGGCTCTGCGATTTCCTGTGGAAGTAAGGACACTTGTTAATGAATCCCTGAGGAAAGGCTAACGTGGCAGTCTCAGCAGCTGCCTTTGAGAGGGACAGTGGACAGCGTGGCACAAGTGCCACCAAGAGCCTGTGAGGAGCAGGTATCAGTGACTGGCACTGCAGAGTAGGGCAGGAGCTGGAGCTGCCCCAGCACAGAGCATCTCACAGGCAGGTGCCTGAGTCACTCCAAAGCTCTGGAGTGACTGGACTCAGCCTCCTAAAACAGTACAAAAAATCACCCAGAACAGCAGCTTTCTGCTGATGTGGTGAGGCCCAGCAGCTCCCTGCGGGGGCCAGGGAGCCTTCTCCTGTTTGCAAATGCACTGGTGAAATAATCACAATAACACCAATTTAAAATGCCTTTGGGGTAGCATTCTTAGTAAAACTGGATAACCCTGAAAACTCACTGGCTCAAGACAGACAATGGTGGAGAATTAAGATGTAAAGTAATTGAAATGTGAATGAACTCACTAATTGCATGGGGGAACAGTGAGAGCACAGATTTGTTGACCAGGAGCCATCTCCATCTGCACCAGCCACACCTGACCCTGGCCAGTTGGTGAAAGGTTCCAGGGACATGGACATCACCATGGGATGGTGATGCCAGCTGGACTGGGGGAGCCAAGCCTGAGGCATGAGCCAGAGCACCAGGAAGGTTAGAGGATGAGTTTGGGCATGCTCCACTGAGACCGTCGGTCACAGACAGAGCACATTCAGCACATTGCGGATCGTTTAAGGGCCGCTGTGACTGTCCATCGCACCTACAGCAGCCTTCCCTACCAGGCCTCCGTGGGGGCAGCTGTGTTAGACACCACCCAGAGTGTGCGCAAAACGGACCAGGACTGAAGGAATTTGGAGCGAACGGGGCAGTGTCCCACGGGAGGACAGCCTGAGGAGGGGTGGCAGCGACCTACAGGGAACCTCTTAAGAGAATGAACTCGTAATTACCCTGGGTGCCTGTGCTTTATTCTCTTCCCATTTCCGCGGTTCTGTGCAGATTTACACAAAGATAATTTGCAATGACGCCGGTAACGCACGGTCCGAGCCGTGGGCTGTGCCAAGGGCTCCCGTTCTGTCCCGCGGCTCCTCCGCGGGGACACGCTCAAGGCACGGGCCGCGGCACACCGGCCCGGGACCCTTCATCCTCCGCCGGGGCTCCATCGCACGGGCGCAGCTGCCGGCCCCGAGGCGGGCCCGGCCTTGCCCGGCCCCCGGGAGCTCGGGAGGCACCGGGGCTCCATCGCACGGCCGCAGCTGCCGGCCCGGGGCGGGCCCGGCCTCCCCCGGGAGTTCGGAGGCACCGGGCCTGGCCCGACGGGACCGCGCGGGCCCGGGCCGCCGTCACCACGGCAACGGAGGCGGGGCCCGTGCCGCTCGCCCCGCCCACGCCGCCGTTCGAACGGCCCAATCACAAGTTCCTCAGGCGGGGGCGGATCCCGAGGCGGGGCGGGCGGGCACGACACCATCCTGCGCGCGCTGATTGGCCAATGCCACCGGCAGCTCTCGCTCTCCCGCACGGCGATTGGCCGCCGCGCCCGTCGCTCCCGCACGAGGCCACCGCCTCCCGCCCGCCCCGGGAGCGCGGGCGCCGCTGGGCCCGGCGGGAGGGCCGCGCGCGCGGACCGGGGCGGGCGGGGCCCCGCGCGAGGCGGGGCGGGGCGGGGCGGTGGGACCGCCCGGCGGGGCGGGGCCGGGCCCGGGCGGGGCGGGGCCGGCGGGCGGGGCGGGGCCGGCGCTCCGCTCCCTCTCGCGCGCCGCTCGGCTCCTTCACAGGGTGACACGTCTGCGGTGAGTGAGTGGCGTTGGCAGCCTGTCAATCCCTCACCGGAGCGGCCATCAAACAACATAAAACACGCGCGGGCACCGGGCGCGGGGCTCATAAATTCCGGCGGGCCGATATTTTTGCACATTGCTTTGCAGAGAGTGTGTAATTAATTTTTTTACAGTTCTTTCCCCGTTATTTCCGCTCTTTTCTTTGCACAAGTTCAAACTTTTGATTGCTGCTGTCTCACCCCCGTGCACAGACTTGGGATCGTTTGTTATTTGGGGGGGAGGGCGATTAATTTTTTTTTTTCCCTCTGTGATTGTGTTTTCTTGGCTTTTTTATGTTGCAATTTGGGGGTGGGGGTGTTCGCTGGTTTGTTGTGGTTTTTGCTGTTTGCACCCTCCCAACTTCTGAAGGATTTGAAAGCGAGTTTTTTTGATTTTGTATTTAATTTTTTTTTTTAATTTTGCCTTTTTGCAAAGAAGATTTTTGGACAAGTGGGGAAAGACATAAAAAGCAACAATAAAAATAAATAAGGAAAAAAAAAGCTTTGGAGGAAGATTGTACCAGGAAAACCTCACAGAAATCTGCTCAGCTCATTTATCCGAGGCACCAATATGATGATGATGAAAGAAGATTGTAACTAAAGAAGAGAGTGATTTACTGCCCTGGGAAGGAGAAGAGAGTGGAATAAACAGCTGAGATCCGGTCAAAACACAAATACTACATTTTTGTTATTGTTTTGTTTGGCTTTTTTTTTTTCCTTTTTTCGTGGTGTGTGTGCAGAGCGCGGTCAGGAGCGCGGCACTGGGACTGAGCGGGGCAGGCGCTGCCGTGACCGCCCGGAGCGCGGCCCGGCCCGGAGCCATGGACGATCAGTCCAGGATGCTGCAGACTCTGGCCGGCGTGAACCTGGCCGGGCACTCGGTGCAGGGGGGCATGGCCCTGCCGCCTCCCCACGGACACGAAGGGGCTGACGGCGACGGCAGGAAGCAGGACATCGGCGACATCCTCCATCAGATCATGACCATCACTGACCAAAGCCTGGATGAGGCACAAGCAAAGTTGGTTTCGTCTAATTAAACCTTGTCTTTTAAAAAAATTATTATTAATATTATTATTTTTTAAATTATTTTTGGTGTGTGTGTGTGGTTTTTGTTTCTCTCCTTCCTGCTCCTCTGCAGAGACCCGGAGTCTCACAATTAAGAGCAACTTCTTGGGGCCGTAAGAAATTTACCAGCAATTTACCAACAAGGCAGGGCCAAGTTGCTATTTAATGATTTCTTTCCTTAAAAAAAAAATAGATATGATAAATGTAGAAGTGTGCGATGGTTCTGCCGTCACTGTGGCGCGGGAGGCTGTGGCTGGTCCCTGCCGTTCCCGCTGGACACTGTCCGGTGGATACCGGCCTTTGCGCCGCCGTCCATCCGTCTGTCTGTCCGGCCATCCCTCAAAGTACAACTTTGCCTCTTTCTTTCTTTTCTTGTCTCAAAGCGGCAGCAGATGAATTATAAATCTGACCAGATATTGCTGCAGGAGAGGGTGTGTGTGTGTGAATAAAACCCAAACCAAACCCTGGCTGTATTAAATCACAATAAATACAAAAACAATGTTAACTCTGTACACCTCCCCCCCCTCTCCCCAATCTCCTTAATAAATCAGTTCTAATATCGCAGGACGGGGACGAGGGGGGTGGTTTTTCCCCCCCGTTCGGGCGGTGTTTGCACAAAGATAATTCCGCATGAAAGCGAAGCGGGATGAGGGAGGTTCCGGCCGGCCCTCGCCGCCCGCGGCCCCGGGACCCCCGGCCGGGGGGCGAGCGGCCCCAGCGCGGGGCTGGGGAAGGCGCCATGTTGCTGGAGCCCGGCGCTAACCGCTTGTCCTGTGCTCTCTTGCAGGAAACACGCCCTGAACTGCCACAGGATGAAACCCGCCCTGTTCAGCGTCCTCTGCGAGATCAAGGAGAAAACAGGTACGGGCCGCCCGCGCCGCCGCCGCCGCAGCCATCTTAGCGCTCCCGCCTGCGCCGCGCCGGGCCCGGCGCCCCTCACGCCGCCGGGGGCGGGGGCCGGGCCGGGCCGGGGGAGCCCCGCGGGGCCGGGGGCACCCGGCGGCTGCTGAGGCGGCGGGAGCGCCGTGAAAGGGCGCGGGGGTCCCCCCGCACGGCCCCCGCGGCCCCGGAGCGCCCGCGCTGCCGTGTTACCGTCAGACGGTGTGTGAAAGACATGCCGGGGCGGTGTGACCGCGGGATTTAACCCCGGGACCGGACCGGGAGCTCCGTGAGCGGCGAGGGCGCCGAGCCGAACCCGAGGCGGCCCCGCCGTGGGCGCCCCGACCCCGCTCCTGTGCCCGGCGCTGCTCCGGCGCCTCCCGAGCGCTGGGTTTTTAAACGCCAAAATTATCAAAAATCATCTCAAAAGTGCGGGTTTTTTTCGTCTTCATTAACGCGACAGGAATAAACTCCGTGCTTTTCTTGTGGGCATTTTAGGAGATTATTTTTTGCAATTTTTTCACATCACTGAATTTATAGAATTTTTTGTTTGTTTGTTTAAAGAAGGAAATGCGCAAAGTATTATGCTTTGTATTATGAGAACAAGGACATTTAATGAAAATAATATTAAATGAGAGTAAGAACATTTACCAATAGTAAAACATTTAACAATAACAAAAACATTTATTATGATTGGATTTAAAAATGAATAGCCAATTATTCGCATATAGCTTAAGCCATTGCCTGGCTTTTTAGCTCTATGTGATACTCAATAACATTCTGCTCAATTCCACCCTGCAAAAATAAACGTGGATGAAAACAACCCAACGTGAAATCATTGCAAATCTGAGCCGTGGAGCCCGGAGTGAGCGGTTGGTTCTCTGTGAATTATGGTGCTTTATGTCCAAGGGTTTCTTTGCTACCGGGGATCCACTTCAGTTCCTGCTGACAGCTAAGCACTAGGGTATTGACTGTGTTGTGAATATTAAGATTGATTCTGCTTTATGTTGCATTATATTACCCGGGATAAGGGGAATGATCCCTCTCCCTTCCCACCTACCTACGTTCCACCTCGGCCGGCTCGTAACCCCTTTGGCTCGTGTTTGTTTCCTGCCTTGCCCTGAACTTCTCTGCCCGTCCTGCTCCCGAGCCAGAGAGCAACCTGTCCTCGGTGTTGAGACATTTGCAGGAGGCACATTTCAATTAAGGAGGCAGGCGCAGGTCCCGCGGTCACTTTATTTGCAGAGGGCTTAGCCTCAGTGTTTTGAAAGGCAAGTGTAGTCAGCCACATGTCAGAGGTGAGCTGCGAAGAAAGCCCGAGTCCTTTCAGCAGTGGGATTACTGGCACAGGGTGTTTGTGAGGCGAGGGGGACCTGACAAGAGGCTCTGTGGTCTGAAACCTTTCGGGGGGTTTCAGCGATAACTTGTAAGTTGGGAGCCTGCATTTGTGCTGCAAGAAGTCGAGCAAGTTTTCAAGTTATCTCTCTTTTGTGAGGACCAACAAAGAGTGAAGGCGTCTGCCTGCCCAAAGGCGAGCTCCTGCCAGCCCCGCAGCACGGGAGGGACACGATTAATGCTCTGAGTGATTGATGGAGATGGATCCACACCTCCACCAAAAACTCTTTCCGGAAGGGGACCTTCACTCAGGGTCTCCCAGTTGAGGTGAAATGTCTGTTCAGGCTTTACTTAGCGTGCTAAAGCAAAGAAAACGTGAAAATAAATTGTAGCCCGTTTTCTGGAAGCTGTTCTTGGAGGGAACGGCTCAAACAATTCTAAACTGGAAGCTCGAGGAAGGGTCTGAGATGCAGTTAAAGCAGAGGTGTCCCCCTCTCCGTGTCTTGTGGTCCGACAGTGGCCATGTGCTTAAACCTGCCTCCCATGGGGTCATGTGCTGGTGTTTAATTCTTCCTGATCAGAACCAAAGTTTCCCTGGGTGTGGGAATTGCTGTGATGGCTTCATCACTGCCTTCCTCCAGAGGTGAGGAAGTCATGTCTGTTCAGAAACAAGTAATACGATATTTAAGTAATTTTTATATCGAATTATGTATTTATTTGCATTTTAGTAGTTTCAGTACAGTCAGCAAGGACTTTGTGAGACTGGATGGGAGAGAGCACAAGGAGGAATCCTCAATTTGCATGGAGCCACTCTGTCACTTCCCAGCAAGGGTTAATGGATGCATCTCATTTCTGAAAGCCTCACACAGGGTCAGGAGCTGAAGATTTTTATTTTTTCTCCCTGTGAGGTATTTACCATGTACAAAGCAAATCACCAAGTTACTGAATTTAGCCTGACATTTCTTTTTTAACATTTTAACATTTTCAAAAGTGCTGTATAATACATTTAAGTGCTTTACAGCTATTAATAGCTGTGTGTATTCTGAGAGGCAACCACAAGGTAGCACGGTGTTCATAAAGAAACTGCCACCTCTGGCTTTAATTAGTTCAAAGAAAAATTATACCCGAGTTCTTTGGAAGCCCCTCCACTAAAGAGGAAGATGAGCGGGTGAGGAGCCGCTGGCTCCCTTTGGCTGTGCTCTGAGGTGTCCCTGGGCACACGCTCACATCTGTTGCATACCTGTGTCACACTCCGCTTCCTTGCGTCCTGCCAGAAGGAATCAAAAACTGATTTGCACCATCGTTTGGTTTGTTTTAATAGCTCTTTTTTACTGACTAAAACACCTACTGACTGGTGATTTTATTAAGTTTCCTCCAGGATGTTGCTCAACCTGGGGTCGGGGTTATTCGTACGGAGAAAGAACTGAAAATATATTAATTCTTGTAGTCTTAAAATGTCTTAAAGAATTGCAATTATTTCCCAATGGAGCAACATATTATTAGGTCCTGGACTGCACCGATAGATAATTTGGGGTTTTCTCTTTAAAAGTCATTTGTAGAGATGGGATTACATGTTTTTAAAAATGTCTGAATTCATGTGCATAGCGGTGTACACATCTATAGTTATTTATTTATTTATTTATTTATTTCCCCAAGTCCAGCAGCAACAATGATAGCTGCCAACCAACCCCGAATTTACTGTCACCACCACCCCTAAATAGCATTCATTTCCTAGTAAAGTCTAATGGCATACATGATGGTTTGCCAGATTTGTGGCCTTTGTGAGGCTTATAAGCAGGACTGACTTGGGAAGATCATAAAACTTAATGAACTTCTCGACTGCAGGAGGTGTCCGCAGGGGAAGCGAAAGGCCTGCTCGGCTGCTCGGGCTGCTGCAACTATTTTTTATGTCTAAAGAGAGAGGATGAAAATGTTCATTAAGAACGTTCTCCCCTTGCATGGATTTCGGTGTTAAAGAATGAATAAAAAAAGCTCTGCAAACCAGACAAACCGCGCGTTAGCCACGGGGTTAATTCCTCGCTGTTCCCGTGTAAGTTACCTTTATTTTTATTGCTACAGCTGTGACCAGCCGTGCGCTGCCGTGCCTGTGGTGGCAGGGCTGCACGGCTCCTCATTGATGAGCCCAGGAACGCCCCTTGTCAATGCGCTGCGGGGCTGGGGCCGCGGCCGGGGCGCTCCTTGGAGCAGCCGTGCCTGCGGTGGCAGGGCTGCACGGCTTCTCATTGATGAGGAGCCCAGGAACGCCCCTTGTCAATGCGCTGCGGGGCTGGGGCCGCGGCCGGGGCGCTCCTCGGAGCCGCCGTGCCTGCGGTGGCAGGGCAGCATCGGGCCGGCCAGGGCGCTCCTTGGAGCCGCCGTGCCTGCGGTGGCAGGGCTGCACGGCTTCTCATTGATGAGGAGCCCAGGAACGCCCCTTGTCAATGCGCTGCGGGGCTGGGGCCGCGGCCGGGGCGCTCCTCGGAGCTGCCGGCCCTGCGTGCCTCTGGCACGGCGGGGAAATGTTAACCCCTGTGGGCACCGCGGCGCTGGAGCAGCCGGGCGCAGCGCTCTGCCCTCGCCCTGCACCAACTGCAACTTTGCGGCCGAGGTTTAGTGCGAACAACTCTCAGTAATGCGCTGTAACCCTCAGTCCTGCCGGAGCGTGAGAGGACTCAGATGGAACAATGGAATGGCACTGATAGCATACATACATGTGCGTGTGTGGGAGTGTGTGTGTGCATTTTGGCTGTTTCTAAATATCAGATGTGATGTTATTGTTGCTTACTCTAGCTCTTTAAAATATTTATGTACAGCCCTGTTTTTTTTTTCAAGCTGCTAAATACATATTTTGTTGTTCCCTGACTACCTGAAGAAGTCAGTGCTGGGTGTCTATGTGCATCCAGCTCAGCTTAAATTGTTTAGCTTTTGCTTCCATCTCATTCTTCAGTACCTAGGTTTGTCACCGACCCAGTGGTTGTACTTTTGAATGTATTTTTTTACTTGCCAGCAGATGTATTACAAATGATGCCGTGCAGCAGAACGTTTGGTCGTTTGCACTGTCCTTATGGCAATGACATTGCTTTTCTTCATAAATGTCCTACTAGGAAAATTGAATAAAGTGTCTTGGTTGTCATTTGGTCATCTGTTTCCAACACATTCATTATCAACAGCCTGGTTCTTTGGTGGATTTCTACCAGGGCACTTCTCTAGTTGAGAAAATGGCGATTTGGTGATTATGGACATTAGAGAAGTTTGTGGTATTTTGTTTCACAGAACCTGAGGCTACACCTTACCTTCAGTGCTTCCCATTGCTGGTACTCCTTGCTGCATTTTAAATACCCATCTTCACCTTGAGTACTGGGATTAGTGGTTCCAGAGATTTTTTTTTCCCTTTCTGTAGGGGATAAATTTGGCTTGGCCCTCCTTGTCAATACTAATTTAGCCAGGAGCAGGGATTTATTTTATTTATTTTATTTTATAGCTGTCTTTCATGTCCTTCAATTTATTTTTGAATTCTACACATTTGCTTGCTTATCTGAAAATACCAAATTATAGCAGTTACCGTGTGGTGTATTTTAGGATGCTTGTTGTAAGTTAAGGAATTTTTGCATTCAGAGATAAATTATTATCATGGCATGTAGGGAATG